CCATTCCAAGCCTCAAACCATAACATTATGATACACATTTTATTGTCAGAACTAGTACTGGGTTTTGGGTTTGTTTTTTTAGGAACAGTGACATGTACAATGCATTTCTAATTGTTAGCATGAAGTCAAACTAAAATTATGTTGTGATTTTGTTTTTAAGATGCTGCAACTCATGCAAATGGAGAAAGCAAGTGGTCATTCCTGTTCAGTTTGACAGATCTGAAATCAATCAAACAAAACAAAGAAGGCATGGGATGGTCTTATTTGGTGTTCTGTCTGAAGGATGATGTGAATCTTCCAGCTCTTCACTTTCATCATGGAGATAGCAAGCTATTGATTAAATGCCTTGAAAAGCATGTTGTGCTGAATGAGTAAGTATCAGATAACTCTTAGTTCTGATTTAACATGGACTATTGTTTTACTTTTTAAATTCTGTAGTGAATTTCAGATTAACTCTTCCTGATGTATTCTTTCTTCCCTTTTTCATTTGTAGAATTAATTTCAAAGGTGACTGAAACTAATTTCACTTACATATTTGGAATGGACACTGAAGTTTTAAAATTGTTTGAAGTATTTATGAAATAGTTTAGAATCTGTTGAAGTGTTATTAGCTCTGTAATACCTCACCAGCTCCTTCTAGTGGGTACAGAAGCTTCTCATAAATGCTGTGTAAAGTTGAATCCTTAGTGAACTGCTTCTATTAAACGGGATAATTTGGGTTAAAATTTGAGGTCTTCTGCTTTGTGGGAAATATCTACGAGTATTGACATCAGTGTGTGAGGTAACTTACAGTACTATTAACTAAATTAATTTGTATATAAAAGTTTCCCCTACAGTTCTGTTCCACTTAATTTCTTGCTGTGGGTAATGTTTCACACTTGATCTTTACTCTCCAAATTGACTTCCTGAATGTAAACATAGTTAGACCCTATCATAATGTTAAATGCTTGGTGTTTCTTGTGTATTTTTTTATCTCCAGGTTTTTCACTTGGATGAAAGCCTTTTTGATTGGCATAGTATAAATGCTGAACAAAAAAGTTCTGCTCTCACCCTGTAGGCCTAAGTATAATTTAAGAAGGTGACAGGGTAAATACGAGTAGGTAGAGCATGAAGAAACAATGAGGTATGACAGGTTTTCTGTTTTCAGAACTGTTTTTTTATCGTTACTTGCAACATAATATTCTGATGACAGATTTCAAGGTGGGCAGTGAAATGGCTGAGAGAGTCCTTAGAGTTCTTCTCACATTGGTAGCATCAACGAGGTCAGAGTTGCCTTTGACAAGTGAGGAGGGCTGTCACTGACCAATACTGTTTGGCTGGAGAGCGAGCCAGCAGGACATGAGGGCTGTAGATTCACTGCACTGATTTGTGAAAGGCTTTGGCAGTGTCAGGATGTAGTGTTGGAGTTGGTGATAATTAGAAGTTGTCAGCTGTGTGGAAAGGGAGCATGGTCAGCATGAACATTGGGTGAAATGGTACTGGCTATAGCATCATAGGTGAGCTTTTTAAGGAGAAGATTCAAGAAGACCAAAGCAGAGGCTATTAGTGGGACAAGATAAAGGTATAGGAAAGAATATTCTTTTGTACATCTGCAGGTTGGGAAATCCTGGATGACAACTTCGTCTTAAATCCTGAGTTTCTTTTCTCTAGGTTCTCTTTGAGTTCTTCCTTAAACCTCCTTTCATTTCATTTTCTAATCTCACTACTTCTGCAGGTGCAGGGGAATATTGTCATCCTGCCATCCCCCTGCTTCCCTTCTCTTCCCCCCATGGAAATTGTGTTCTCTGAGCATGCTGCTCTGTGTTTACTTATTTGTGGGTATCTTCCAACTAGTTGCTGGTAGACTAGGACAGGTTTTTGAGGAAACCTATTTAGCAAACACTGAAAAACCACCTGTGTTGCATAGTAAGTCACCAAGAGCTTTGTACCCTCTGTATGTGATCTGTTGCCTGTATCCTGCAGCAATGTATTTCAAATTTTCTGACTCACTCCCTTAATATGTATGTAATGCACAGGGCCAAGTTTTAAGCAGGCCTAGTGAGTACATCTGACAATGTGGTGAACTGGTTTGCATTGACTTAATCCAAACTCTGTTCTTGTGATTAACTGTCAGATAGAAACTTTAAAATTGTAGATAAAGATTTTTCCCTTACGCCTTCTTTCCATTTGAGGCTTTAACAAAAGCAGTTTAAAACTAATGAATTCATGCTGCTAGGCTTGTTTTAATTACCATTATTTAAAGAGCTTATCATCTGAATACGTATATAGTGTGTATATATATACAAAGCAATATGCAATAGAAAAGTTGATGTCGTGTGCTGCAAATAGTTATGCTTCACATTGCTATGTAAAACTAAATTGTGAAATTGGTGAGTCGCTGAATGAAAATGAAATAGGTAGGGATTTTGGTTCCTGTTTCGGACACTGTCTCTTCAAATAGTGTGCAGTGAGTGAGTGGGCACTTACTGTTCTTCCTTTATTTGAACTTGTGGATTCTTAGTTCTTACCCTTTGTAGACTCTTGCCAGGTGATGCAGACATTTCTCTTGGGTCAGTGCAAAACAGCAGTCAGGTGGGGAAGAAACTGCAGAGGGAGAGGCAGTCATGTCCTCATGTGGCTGTTTTTAAAGGCAGGCAGTGGCACAGGGCTTGTGCAGCCTGGCCCAGCAGCTCTGCACTGGGGTCCCCAGGAATACTTACCAGATGGACCTCCCTCTTAAAGTTAGACAGGAAACCTGAGGCGGTGTTCAAGCATGCAGGATGTGCTGAGCTGCTTAGTGTTGCCACCTCAAACAGTTGTAAGCACTGATGAATGCAACAGCAGATACTTCAGGAGCTATAAAGCAAAAAGCTGAGGCAGCTATGGAAATCAAGTTTGAATGAAGTTAAGCATTGAGCTTAGCAGGAACCTCCATGTTTAGCTTTCTAACTTAGATTCCTCTCCTCCGGTTATGGTCTGTGTCTGTCACTGGTGTGCATATTTTCTGTGGTCTATTCATGAATCGTGATGATTTTTTTTTTATGAAGGAAAGAGAAAAGAGCAAATATGCCACATAAGTCATGGAAATGGCAGACTTCAGGCTCTGTATGCTTCTGTTGTTTCCAAGTGGTTATTTATGCCGTAGTGCATGCTGTATCCAAGTGCACAACCTCATTTAGGAAAAGATGTTTACTCAGTTCTCTGGATGCCACAAGCAAATACTTGGCAGCATAATTACTTGTTATCCCAAGCTCTAGTTTATAACCTCTAGTTTATATATGGGATTTTGATGTTAAGGCAGAAAGTTTAGCTTTTATCTAAAATATCTTTCTGTCCTAGGTATTTCCTTCCTCCATTCCTATTACCTCAAAAGTTTTTGCTCTTCTCTAACAGCATTCCTTATAAAATGTCAAATCATTGCTGAAATCAGTGTGTGAATTGGCTAAACTCTAACAAAATAGTTGTAGCTTGATGCTCTAAAAATTGTGCTTCCTAGTTTCACAGCACCAGTCTAATATTGACAAAATGTTATGTAGGGATGATACTTCCTAACTCACAGGATTATGAGTAATAATAAAGTGTCTAGCTTACAAATTTGTTTTGACCATTACCCAAGTAGCTGTTGATACCCAATGGGCTAGCCAGAGAGAATGTTTAATTAAAATGGAGATATGGTACAAAGTTTTTGTTCTTTTAGTTCAGGAAAACATAATACATGACTCAGCCTTTGCCCCTGTGATGGTTTTTAGCAGAATCCAGTTGAGCTTCACTAACGGTTGCTGCCTCAGAACTGTGTCTGTGGTGTCTGGCTGTCTCAAAATGAGATCTCTTGGTGCTTTTCATATCCGTCAGTGTTAATGGTGTCCTGTCCTGTTGGAACAGGGGAGAGATAAGGCTTATTAAAGTTCTTATCTTTGACTTTAATAACATGGTAGATGATGCAGGTACTAATAAAAATAAAAGTAATTTTTCTTTCAAAGACTAGAAATAGGGGATTTAAAGTTTGGGAGGGAGCAACGGAGAGGTATTTTAGAACTGTAAGTCTGTGCAAAGTCTATTAGTCAGGTGGGAAAGCTCTTGGCTTTTCCCTGCCCAGCTGGAGTGTCAGCCCGGCTTCTGAGCTGTTCCCTCTTCTGTCATGTATTGAGCTGTAAATTGATGATTCAGGAGCTGGATAATGAACCGATGGGGTATCTGTGCTGGCAGAGGGGAGAAGATGGGATGTTGGGGTGGGGGGATGAGAGGAAAAGAACAGAATAACTACTAGGAGCAGCACGGTTCCACTGTCTTTTGTTTTTACTGTTTTCATCTGCCTGTGCAAGCCTGTCAGAGGCAAATGTTAGAGTGAAGAACAAGAGTGTACACAAACAGTGAGTTAGGCCACATCAGGTTTGTGTTTGTTCAGCTTTTAGAGTCTACACAGAAACACATTTGCAGGGCTGTACTGAGATGGTTCTGTTTCAGAATACAATGGTGGTGGTGGTTTTTGAGGTCCTATCAGTATGAATGTTAGAATTATTCTGACAGTAGCTATTGTGATACTGTTGGTTAGAAATTTGTTGATGTGCATTCATACGTTGGAAAGCAGTGTGTGTTCCTTTATATCATGTTTTACAGCGTGTCTTAATGTAAGATGTACTAATTGCTAGAAAGAATTCCATAATTGTATGTGTTGATGTGGGCTCTTTTCACTTCTTTTGCTACATTAAAGGAGTTTCAGCATACGTTCTGTTGGGGCTCACCATGTCTCACTAAATTTCCTTCCCTGTACCACCTCTTTTTTTTTTTTTCCATTCTTCAACTATAGTTTTCTATATTTGATAGAACTTTATTTACATGTGGGTGACAAGTTATCTTCCACAGTAATTTCTCACAACTTCCTCAAAAGCATCATGATTTTTCAGAGGAGGGAAGAGTACAATTCAGAATTAATATGATGATGACTATCTTTCTGAAAAGTGAAAGTCCTGTTTTGTAGTGTGTTAGCTTGTGAACTTGTACTAAGAACTAAGACTGATCTTGTGTCAAACCTGCTTCCTTTGCACAAAACCCGAAATGTGACTTCAAACCAAAAACATTCCCAGGAAAAACTGATGGCACTTACACAAACCCTGGTTTAATGTTATTGCAGATCTCCACAGGATAAACGTGTTCTTCTTGTGAATTCACAGAACAAGTCTCCGTCACAGTCTTTTGAAAATCTCTTTGATGAACCATCATATGGCTTATTACAAGTATGTATTACCTTTGATATTTTTTTATTCTGAAGACACTTATTTAAAAAAACCCTACCCTACCATGTTACACATATATTCCCTGAATTATTGCCATTTTAGAAGCATAGATTGCATCCTAAAACAAATGCATGCTATAGAAAGTACACTTATTTATAAGTTGTTTTCTGTGTTCAAATAGTTTTTTAGCTTTTCTGTACTACTATGTCAAACCTTTTCAAGTGAATGTTGTCTGTGACTGTATATTTGGGTACAGATAATTCTAGAAGTTGTTAAAAAATTAGGAGTTGGCAAAATCTAATAATTGCAATTTTCTAACTTTTCTTGACTAACCTTTTCCGTGATATTTTCTGAAAGCTTTGAAGAGGTGCTGGGAATACAGTAGCAGAGAGCACAATGTTGCCTAAAAGAGTTTGGGTTGTTGTTTTTTAATGCTAACACTGCCTATCATTTGTTTGGGTTTGTGGACTTGTGAAAATCAGCAGCAAAATTTCCAGTGACTTGAATAAGGCCAGAGTTTTTGACCCTTTTATTTGTTTAATTGAAGAAAGTCTTCACAAGCAAATTACATTAGTTTCTGGTTTAGTTGTCAAATCAAATTTTGTGTAAGATTCCTAGCAAACTACCTGATGATTCAAGATTTTTTTTCTTTATGAAGATAGAGAAGCCAGGCGTAAGGAAGATGTTTTGTGGCATTAATCACTGCAAAGCAAACAGTAGTTCTGATCTACTTTTATCCATAGGTCAGGCTTACTGAGCACACGGCTATCCAATCTTTCAAAACAATCAGTAGCATTATCTTAATACTTCAGATACATTTTTTTTAAACATGTACCGTATGAAACTACTGACACATGAAACTTCAGTAACTGAGACCTGCAATAGTCTTCCTGTTGTTTTGCTTTCTTTGAGTACAGGGATTCCCAATAATCTGAGGCTTTTTGTATTTTACTTGTTTCCCTTGTAACACAGAAGCTGAAGAAAGATCCATACACAGTAACAATGGGAAGATTTTCCAAAGTCACAAACTACATTTTTGACAGTTTGCGCTTAAGCGACCCTTCGAGTCAGAGGCGGCCGCCGTCCGAAATGGCGGATTTCCTCAACGACGCCATTCCTGGGCTGAAGATCAATCAGCAGGAGGAGCCCGGCTTTGAGGTCATCACACGGGTGAGTCTCTCAGCCCATGACACCGCTGCCTCGTTTCCTTTGACACTCACCTCTGAAGGAATGGCAGGACTTGAAGCTTGCCGAGTTAACACTGTTTATGCCTGGTGGTTGTGGTGTGTGCTGGCCTGCTCTTTATTCACAAGAGTGAGATCATCAGCAGATGCCTCTGGAATATGTCACTTTTATGCCTGCAAATGAATTTTCCTTTGAAAGAAAGTTTGTCATTACTGAAATGGGTGCTGTCATTATCTTAGAGTCACTACCCTGAAAAATGACCGTTTCATGTTTAGTGATTACTCTGTGATTGGATAGAGCTACGTTAAGTAAAATGGGGGTATGTGAGTTAATGTTAAAGTGATTAGTCAAGAAAGTTTATTTTAAAAGGGCCCAGAAGATTAAAGCAAAGTATTTAATTGGATAATTAGTGTCTAGGGTGAATAAACATACAGATTTCTGTATGACTTGAACCATGCTAGAATGAACTTGTAACTTTTGGGCTCCTGTTGGTGTCTTTTATAGATAGATTTATCAATGAGAAAAAGCATAACAAATGCTTCATACTGAAAATAACACTGACCTGTATGTCTTAATCTTGCAAATGCCTTAGACTTCTAAAGAGTTGAAACACAAATTGACTTGGTGGGTTGCCATCATTGAAGTATTTTTAGAAAGCAAGGAATGGTCTGCTCAATTCTGCTGTGCTTAAACATACAGTTTGGGAACTGAGAGAGACTAGCCACAAACTGTGAAGCTTTGGTGGGTGTCAGGAGTTCTGAAAGCACATACAGTCTTGGTGTCTTTTTAAGGGGTGGTGAAACTGAACTTTCAGTTGCTCTCTGCAGGCTATGTGGATATAGCATGTCTGAAATCAAGTAATTTTTCAGATCATTCTTAATAATATCATAGAATCATTAAGGTTGGAAAAGACCTGTAAGATCACCGAGTCCAACCATCAGCCCAACACTACCATGACCACTAAACCATGTCCTGAAGTGCCATGTCTGCATGTTTTTTTTTGAACTCCTCCAGGAATGGTGACTCCACCACCTCCTTGGGCAGCCTGTTCCAGTGCCTCACCAATGCCTTGGATGCATTAGTGTGTATCAGGAATGTGCTTTTGAAGTGAAGCTGCCTCATCCCTACTTGCTGTGTAGCACATACCTTGTGTTTCCAGTTGCAGAGGCTTATAGTCCATAGGAAGCTCCCTCAGAGGTGTTTGGGAGTAGAAGGTTATTTAAAACACACACACCCCCTCCAGAATCTGAGATATTAAAATGTATACCCAGGCCCACAGCACAGAGTGTCTTGCTCTAAAGACCTGCCTGTGTTGGTCTGCACCACTTGCTAATGTGGATAGTGTTGTAGATCCTTAGAGGTGCTAAGTGAGGTATTGCTAATGTGAAAATGCAGTTGCAGTGAATATAAAGAACTGGCAAGCTTAGAAGTGTATGTGCAGTTGTTTAAAACTACTGAAGCACTTCAGTTGGATTCATATAAATTATTTGTATGTGTTTCAGATCGATCTAGGAAAACAGCCTGAAGTTAGTAGAAGAGAGCCTGTGTCAGCTGAAGAATGGGCTAAGAATATGGATTCTGAAGGAAGAATTTTAAATGTCAACTACATAAAGCAATTGATATTCAAAGGGGTAACTTGTTTTCTCCTTTTTTTTTTTTTTTTCTTTCCTTCCCGAACCATGGTTGTGCTGTTTTCATTATACTTCATGCAGGACTTTGAGCATGTGCCAGTCAGTCAAGCTGGAGGGACTTCATAAAGTATGATTTCACGCTAATAAAGTATGATTTCGTACTAATCAAATACCTCAGCAGTCTTGCAACCCTAAAAAGTGCTCTACAAGGAGAGAGATCATGTGGTGGCTGGCTAAAGTGAATGACTTGAAAAGACAATGTCTTTAAGTGATAAAGAAGAAAAATCAAAGTGCCTTTCAGGAAAACACCAGTGTTAAGATACCAGGTTTATTCTTTTCTTTTTGATATTTTTTTGGTCTTATCCTTCTCCAGAAAAAAAGCTTCTCTTCTGTGCCCAGCAGTTTGCCTAGAGTTGGCCCTCATCAGAACACTCCTAAACACTTTTGCCGATATTGTTATATTAAACTGAGGGCTTTTTAAATATAGATGTGAACTTAGTCTCAGTGATGGAAATTTTGACGGCTCTGCTTACGTCCTGTAGCTATTCTATCTTAACATTACTCTAGTATTTCTCTTTTTTGGTGAGAATCCATTTGCCTTAATGCATTTTTTGTGCACTTGTTGATGCATGTTTGCAAGCATGCAGTTGTGCATTCTTGGAGTTTGAGCAGGAGTAGAGAAAGAGAGCATTCGTATTACAGGTGTTTTTTTTCAGGCCTATACATATTAAGTAATGTACTGTGAAGGGGTATAGAGTGAAACTGAGGCCCTCTGTTTTCTGTGACTTCTTTAATATACCTGTGTCTGAGCTACCTGATTAAGGACCATTTTGCAATCATGATCATTACTTTGTACTACCTTTGTTCCTTTTATTCCAGTAGCCCATTTCCCTGGCATCTCTGTCTGTTGCCAGAGGAGTGAGTGCTCAATTTTATTTGTGATTCTAGATCCAAGTAACTTCCAGTGCATTAAGTGCAGATCCTAATTAAATTTAAAAGAAAAAAAAAAAAATTAAAATGCTTCTCTTAAACTTCTAGCCTCTTACTGGTAAAGTTCCAGTTGCTACTTGTTTTGGCACTGGTTGATGCCATTTGCTGCACTGTCTTCCTTGCCTTAATCTGATGGTAAATAAAGAAATATAGTGAGGAATCAAGCTGGCCTTGGACTGGTAAACTGGGGAATCTGGTAGCAAAAGTGCCTCATTCTCATGACTACATTGCAGGAGTTGAGAAACTCTTTTGATGAGGTGGGATATGATTCAGCTAGTACAGTTGTCATCTACAAATGACGAGCATTGCTTGGAAAGATTTCTGACAAATGGTGTCCTTGAATGGACACTGGTAATTTTGTTTGCTTGGAAGACTCATCTGCATGTTGGTCAGTCTTGTTAGATGAATTTTTTTTTTTTTAAATAAAAGTGCAGTCATCAAGATGAGTCTGTGGCAAGACCAGAAGTTTGGCAGTTAAGCAGCATGATGTTTAAATATATACATTTTAAAGGGACCTTTTTGCTTCTGAAAGTCTGTGATGCCTGTAAGGTTTTTATTACCAGCAGTGAAGTAAAAATATAGGAATAAAAATCTTTTGTAAAGTTTCTTTTTTACCTTCTAAGGATGAATCAAGTGCTTCTGCAGTTTTCTGCTTAATTATACTCTCATCTTCCGTTTTCCTTCAACTGTGGTATGTAGTTTGCAGATAAGATTTGGCTAAAATGTAAAAAGCAGCTTACTTATAAATATTCTCAAAGTTGTTACTTTAAGAAGCATTGTATCACTATGGAAAGGTTTCCTCACAAAATCAAAATAGTCTTTTTGTTAATGTTTCATATCTATTTTCCCTAGGGTCTCTGCCATACTTTAAGAAAAGAAGCATGGAAATTTCTTTTGGGTTATTTTCCTTGGAATAGCACTAAAGAAGAAAGAGCAAATCTGCAGAAAAGGAAAACGTGAGTACAGGGGGGGGGTTTGTTGTAAAATGAATCAAAAGGTGCTTTTTTCTTAAGGCATATAGATGAGGTAGAAAGCTTTTTGAAAACATGAAAGACAGCACCTACAGATTGTTGAGTGCAAAGAGATGCGTGGGACTTTCTTAAAAATTGTTATACTGCAGTAAAAATATAATATAAATGGGTGGTGTCCAATTTATACCTAAGAACAAATGGAAAGAATGACTGCCTAAATAAAAAAGAAATGTAATAATTGAGTATGTTTTGGTTTCAGAGTTGTCTTTCTTCTTTAGGGATGAATATTTCAGGATGAAGCTGCAGTGGAAATCTGTCAGTGAGGAACAGGAAAAACGAAACTCAAGATTAAGAGATTACCGGAGCCTTATAGGTAGATTTGGATTTAAAAACATTCCTAACTGTTTGAATTCACACACTTCTACAGTTCAGTGTGAAGTTGAAAAAAAAGTAGCCTTTTGAGTAACCAGCACGAAGAGGCATTAAAAACTAACGTGTCTGTTTCCAGAGGCATCTAAACTTTGTTATATACTTAATACCAAAACTTTCTTAACCAGAGTAAATCAGAGCTTTACATATTATAGAATGGTTGAATTTTTTAACTTCCTTTACTAAATAATAAAAGGCTCAGTTTTGTCATTTCATGTTATAGTTATGTTTTTATTTTTTTAGTGAGACAATAAGAATGTGAGAATGTGGCTGTTTTAACACTTCTTGCAGGGATTTGTATACATGCATTCCAATTTGAGGGGTTTTATACCTACTTGTAACAATTTCATCAAGTTCTGCTGGCTATTAACAGTTTGTATCCTCAGCTCTCTTTGGTAGTGAGCTTTGAGCAACAATGTTTAGGATTACTAAGTAGTCATTTCAGGAGACAGAATAAGATTTTTTTGTTATTCTGAGGCATGGACTAAACTTATTTCAGCCACTTATTTAATAGGCATGCTGAAAGGGTTGAGAAAGTATAATCCTAATAGATTAGTAAACTACCTTCCCAGAGAGGTTTTTATGTTAACAGGAAAAAAAAATATTCTGACTTCAGAAAAAGCTTTGTTTCTGTTGAAACACTTCTGTTCCTTTTTAAGTGTTTGAAATGTAAATGAAAGTATTTGGCTTATGTTGCAAAATAGATCCAAAATTACAAAATACCTCTTTTACTAAAGTGAACTCAAAATTTCATTTAGTTCAAGACATCAGTCTTGGATTTCACATTATTAAAGAGTATGCTGTGTACTTGGTATGTTTGAGGCCTGAAAGCTGCCTGGTGAAACAGGCATTTTGAGCTCATTATGAGTTATAGGAACTTTAGTTAAAGTGAATTTATAAACATGCTGTCATGAACTATCACAGTGTCTTTGAGCTGATGATGTGGCAACCTTCCTACTGTGCCTTATGTGGCATTGCCCAAGTATTCATAAATGGCATTGCCTAGCTAGCTCATAAAATTGTTCTTAAACCTTGAAAGCGTAAAACATTTTCACTGAATTATAATCAGCAATTTTTCCATTAAAAATATTAACAAACAAAAAAGGCAGGAAGCTTTTAAATCTGTTTACAGAGCAAATCCTTTTATTGTAGACAGGAAGGATTTTCTTTTAAAATATTCTTTATTTTGAAATTACATTCAGTTATGCAGTTACCTCAAACACTTCAAAGGTTTGCAACAGAGGAAGAAATCAGCAGCTTAAAAAACATTCTGAATTCATTTGATGCTGGCTTTGTAGAACTTATTTTGAAAATGTTTTAAAATCTGGACTGTTTTCTTAGAAAAAGATGTAAACAGGACAGATCGGACAAACAAATTCTATGAAGGCGAAGATAATCCAGGACTGATATTACTTCATGATATTTTGATGACCTATTGCATGTATGACTTTGACTTAGGTAAGTTTGTGTTGCTCTGAATGTAGAAGCCTTTTTAGTTTTTGACAGGCAGCTTTGCTTATGTTAAGGCCTGTTAATGCAGTTGAGCTTGTACTGATTACAATCCTTTTCCTAAATGTCGAGATTTACATTTCAATAAGGTAACTTGGTTCAGTTTCTGATCCTCTTTCTTCCCCTCTTCTATCTGATGCTTATCACATGCATCTGAATTCATTAGCTGAGGTGGGATTAGGAATTAAGAAGCATTTTTTCTTCACCATAGTCCTGCTGTGTTGGGTTTTGTGTGTGTTTGGGTTTGTATTTTTGGTTTTTTTTTTAAGAATTGAAGCAAGTTTGCTTTTCAGAGTTTGGGTATTTGGAGCTTGAGTGTTATATCCATTTTTAAGAGTGATGTGTCAGTAAAAATGATAAACCAGTTGCAAACTGCTGTAATTAAAGCTCAGCATGCTGAACCAGCTGTTTGTAAACACAAGTGTTCTTATGAATACTTTAAAAGATGGTACTTGAGGAGTACACTTAACAGTCTGTCAAAAATTATGCTTTAGTGTACACATCTGTTGCAGAATGAAGAGCATATAATGCCTTGCTTTAATCACAGTGTGCATGAGATGTCTAAGTCTTGGCTTCTGTTAATTGTCTAAGAAAGGAGGAAGGGAACAGATACTTCTAGCTGGTTTCTCCCTCCACCCCTGCCACGACATTTGGCTGTTCTGTACCTGGGGTTTTTTTGGTATTCTGTCTCAAAGTGTTTGGATTCTAAAAGCCCATTTTGTGCCAGATTTTGAAGGCAAAAAGTAGGAGCAAACCTTTTCATAGCTAGTAAAGTTCCTGCAGAGCTGTAGCACTTGTCAGCTTTCATAGAATCATAGAATCACTATGCTTGGAAAGGACCTCTAGGATCATCAAGTCCAACCTTCGTCCCAATATTTCCCTAACCACTGGACCATAGCCTCAAGTGCTACATCTACTTGTTTTTTTGAACACCTCCAGGGATGATGACTCCACCACCTCCCTGGGCAGCCCGTTCCAGTGCCTAACCACTCTCTCAGTGAAGATCATCTTCCTAATATCCAATCAAAATCTCACTTGGCTCCATATGAGGCCATTTCCTCTTGTCCTATGATCAGTAATCTGGGAAAAGAGACCAACACCAGCCTCACTACAACCTCCTTTTAGGTAATTCTAGAGAGAAATAAGGTCTTCTCTTCTCCAGACTAAACAACCCTAGTTCCCTCAGCCAGTCTTCATAAGGCATGTTTTCCAGCTCTCTCACTAGCCTCGTTGCCCTTTTCTGGACCTGCTTCAGCACCTCCATTTCCTTCTTGTCCTGTGGTGCCCAAAACTGGACACAGTACTCAAGGTGTGGTCTCATGAGTGCTGGGCATGGGGGCACAATCACCTCCCTACTCCTGCTGGTCACACTGTTCCTGACACAAGCCAGGATGCCATTGGCCTTCTTGGCCACCTGGGCACACTGCTGGCTCATGTTCAGTTAGCTCTCCACCAACACCCCCAGGTCCTTTTCCACCAGGCAGTTTCCAGCCACTCCTCCCCAAGCCTGGAGCGTTGCCTGGGGTTGTTGTGACCCAAGTGCAGGACCTGGCACTTGGCCTTTTTGTCAAGTCTGTAGAAAGGCTTGATCTTTGGCTTGAATTAGAAGGGAAAAACTAAAATTTGAGGCTGCTTAAACATGTAGCTCTGTTCCATGTCTTTCCACACCTGCATTAACACATAGTAACAAAGTGTAATGAAAGCACATTCACCACCTACTCTGTTAAAAGCATTGTTTAGGTGGCTCAAATGTGTGCAGTGCATAAGTCTTCTGTTTTATAAACAAGCAAGAATAATGCAAATATATCTGACATTGTATCTGTCCAAGGCTTCTGAAGTACTCAAGCATTGATGCAATGCTGCTTTTAATCCTTAGATTAGGCAGCAGCTGCAGAGAGGTCTAATGGCACAAACTGCCATATAGGGGAGGGGACAGAGCAGCTGTCAGTACACCATTGTTCTGAATTAATTCCTCAAGTCTGTTTTAATGAAACTGGCTTTATTCTCTAAGAGAACTTTGAAACTGTCTTGAGCAGAATTCCCTCTGCATTTATTTTTAATTTGCTATACTATTAAATGTGTGGAGAACAAATGTTTTTTTCTTTTGACCTTTTAATTACTTACCTGTTTTCTGTTCCTTGTTCTGTTTTTCTTCTCACATCTGTTCTGTTTTCAGTCACTGATGCCAATCATCTTTTTAGTTACTCAGCTATAATTATAACATTAAGAAATGGAATCAGCCAAGCTTGTGACTGAGAAATGTCATGTCATGTTGAACCCACCACTGGTGGTAGACATACACAAAGATCACGTTCTCCCTTACTTAGGGAGATCAGCAGCAGTAGGGCAGTAGATAAATTGACTTGAGCAACATTGATAAGGTAGTTGGAAGATTCAGGAAGAAGGAGGAAAATGGGCTCTGAAAATCCTTGTCTTCTTTTTAATTGGGCTATTAATTACAAATGAGGAAGCTGGAAGAAGCATTAAAAAGCTATAAAATTTTAAAAATGTTTTGTAAACACTAAAATCTTCCAGCTGCTTGTAAAAATGATATACTCTAAAAATGAGCATTTTATTCTCCAGTGGAATGTAAACTGTTCTTAAAAGGCATGTGAGTGTTTTTTAGGGCAGACGAACTTGATTTGCCATTTCTGGCAGAAAACTAAAGGCACGTCCTCGAATCGAGTCTGGCGATGTGCTGCTTTAATTGCTTTCCACAAGCAGTGCCTTGCTGTTGTCCCCTTCTGCAGTTTGGTAGGAAGTAGTCTGTTGGCTGCTTGGTTACACACGTGGCCTTAGTCTTCACTGTATTTAAAATACCGTCCAAGCAGAACAGTCCCTACTTCTCTAAATACAGAAATCCTTAAAGCCAGTGCCAGAAAAAAAGAAATGTTAAATGTGAAATTTTCTTCATAAAAGCTATTGCTCTATATATTTTCCTGGGATTTGAACTCAAGATCTCATCCTCAAATCTATTTGAAAAGAAAATCTTCAGTTGGGGGTGGAGGTAATAAGGAGACATTAAAAAATTTCAAATCTATGAAAGGAAATAATGAATTGCAGATGGAGAGAAGAATAAATGAGAGTCTATATTTGATGGTGGAAGATATATATTTAATCTTAAAAATATCAGTATATGCTTCTGAGCTCTAAATGGGAACTTTTTTTACTAAACATCTACTCTGGTGTCAGCTCAGTTTGTACATGTTTTAACTACTACAAAAACAATGCATTTGTTTTATGTTCTCTTTAGATTGTCAGAAACTGCTGCTAAATGTTTTTACATCTGCTGGATGTTGGTGGTTATTAATGCAAAAATGTCTTTACTGGTGGTTGGGTTAGAAAATTGTAGTATCTGTACATACTTGGAATGCAAACATTTGTTTCGCTCAGGCATTCAACACACTTGAAAAAATGATGTTTAGCTTCTGAGTTTAACTAAATTCCTATCTGCTTTTTGGTTTTTCCCTTTTTCTCCATTTAGGTTATGTCCAGGGGATGAGTGACTTGCTTTCACCTCTCTTGTATATTATGGAGAATGAAGTAGATGCCTTTTGGTGCTTTGTATCATATATGGATCAAATGGTAAAACAAGACTCTTTTAGCTCAGATAAACAGATAAGCTATGGATAGCATTTGGGGTTAATCTGTTCCAAATTTCATTGTTTTTTTAAAAATTCTTTTAAAGTAATAATATGTTTGAAGTCTGTATGTTTTTTCTGATTGGCACGGATTTATGGTGGCTTTGTGATACTGGTAGTGTACAATACAAATTCAGCTCCTTAGAAATTCCGAATTAACTCAGACCCATCACAGATGAATTTCTATTAATCAGGAGTCCTCTAGCAACCCTTTGTTCAAGGTGATGTTTTCCTGTCATTTGTTAAATGCCACCATTTAGACTTCCCACAGACTGAAGCTTTTGAGTTGTGCATGTGGCAAAACACTGTGACTGGTAGGAGAATAAAAAAAGTTGTCTTTTTGGTTTGAGTGCAGTGGTGCTCCTTGAGGGTATAGAGCATAAGTTGATTTGAAAGATAATTTATTACATAAAAAAAGTTATCGAAGAAACACAGTTCACTGCTTCAGTTAAACCTTTCAGTAAAAGGCAGACATTTCATTAGATAGAGCAGTTAAATATGTATATTGTTAAATACCTAAAGAATGAGAACCACTGTAGCAATAATAAACTTTTTTTAAAAAAATAAAATAGATGTAAATCTCAGAATTACCATTAATAAAAATGACAGTGCTAACATTTTATTTTATCCAGCATCAGAACTTTGAAGAACAGATGCAGGGTATGAAGACACAGCTAATTCAGCTGAGTACTTTGCTGCGTTTACTAGACAGTGGATTTTGCAGTTATTTAGGTAGGTGTATTATTCATGCAAAATGACTAGAACTTGCTGCATTGTGTGCATTGATATTCTTGCCAGTATTTAAACATGATTCAAACGGTAATACCCTATGAATATAGGACTTGTAAATTAGTAATGCCAAAAAGATTTCATTAATGCTCCACGCCTATTGAAAAACAGGATCTGGAAATATCTTTAATTCTGAGAAGGGGCTACCATCTTAAAAATCTGTGATATGATTGTGGATTAAGTGATTTGAAGTGTGTTGTTTGTTTTGGTCTGTGTTTTTTTTTTTCTTTTTTCCTCCCAAATTTGGTGTTTATGAAATGTAACACTCTTACTCCTAGAATCTCAAGACTCAGGCTACCTTTATTTTTGCTTCCGATGGCTTCTTATCAGATTTAAAAGGGAATTTAGCTTTCAAGATATTCTTCGACTTTGGGAGGTAAGAAGATACTTCATCACACAAAGTCTAGCAGTCCTTGGACTTAAAACAAAAAGCATGGATTATTCTGCAAAGTGATTAATGCTCTAATAGTTTTAAAAAAAAATTATTCAGTGCAATGAGGTGGGAACATACTAGCATGTGTTATGCCTTTTTAGCCAAAACAGCAACTTGGGAAGTTAATGAAAGAATACTTAGAAGAGCTGCTGGAGATAAGTTGACTTTTTCAAAGGGGTTTGGGCAGGATCCTCCAGAATAAGACTGGACTGATACTTTCCACTTCCCGCTTTCCCTTAACTTTTAATGGAAAAGAGCTTATGCTAGAAGAACTAGCATTTGTGTGTGTGTGTGATTAATTCCTTGATACTGGTAGTAATTTATAGATTAAGTGGAATGAAGCACCGGTAGGGTGGGTTTTGTGTTAGCCAGAACCGTAAGAGAACGATGTCAGTAAGTCCAGATAATCTTGATAGGGCCTCCTGAGGCAAAATTACGTAGCATCAAAATGTGGAAGTTCTGATAATTCCACTTTAATGAGATCTTTTTTTAATTTAGGTGAATTTGGTATCAGATGGAGTAATTAAGATGAGCTAACATTTTTGTTGAACACTCTTTAATTCCTTGTTCAAGAAATTGAGAAGTGCGTCAGCGGTGCAGGTTTATTGTCTCGGGTGCATTTGATGAGAGCACAGTATCCACTGAAACTCCCAAGCAAGAGAATAAATGTTCAGATGAATGGAAGAAGTATTTCCTAGAACATAACATCACAGAGAGTTGTGCTGGGCAGCAGAAGGGTAGTGAAAGACCAGGACTGAGATGCATAAAATTGTTACTATAAATGAAAAATAATGTTGTTTCTGGTATAATGAAAAATAATGTCGACGCTTTTATTCACTTTTTCTGCTGATGAAAAAGGAGTCACATAAAGAGGAGGACCAGTATTTAAAGCTGTCTAAAGTAAATCTTTTTTAGCTTTTTATCACAATTTGGTGGAATTTACTATCGTAGAGTACTGAGGTGATATTTTAACTGAAGAGGACAAAAAAGCTTATTAATAACATTCATAAATAAGGGAACCAAAATGTATAACTGCAGAAACATTCTTGCATGCCTAAGTATAAATGTTAATGATTTTGTGGGGAAAAAAAATTCACCTGTCTTATTTTGACCCCTCAGTTTTATGCAGTCTTCTCAGTATTTTTTTACAGGCTAATTTTTCTTTTTAAATTGATGAAAACAGTATTTTTGTTTATAGTCCTAGGCTAGCATGTTTGTATTACCTCTGCTTTAATGTGTGTATATGTGTATACAGAAAAGAAACATGCTGTATTTCTAACACTTAAGTGTATTTTTTCTGTCTTGGGAGGATGATGGAAACCTATTGATATATGATAGTCTTGTAGGTTCCTTCTAGCACATCATAATACATGTTTACTGCAAGTATTCAATTTCTTTGCTAGGAGATACAGATGAGAAAAGGGTTGTCTTGTTTTCTTTCTTAGAACAAACTCATTAAGGCATTATGTTGAAGGTTTTCATGTGAAAACTTGTCACCTTTGTCACAGTTGAAGTCCAGCCTACAACAATTTTTTTGTGGGTTTTTTTTTAGTTTGTTGTTTGTGGTGTGTTGTGGTTGTTGTGTTTTTATTTTTTTTTTGTTTGTTTTTTTTTTTTTTTTAAATTTGTTGTGTTGTTTCCTCTTCCCCCCTCTCCCTCCCCCTCCCTCCCCCCCGTTCATAGCCATGCAGCTTCATTGGTATCAGTGGAGTGTGTGTGGGATTTCCAAAGGGCAGCTGTATGCACAGGAGACCGTTTTCCCCTTTGTAGAGAGAAGTGAGCTGCTTGTTAGGGCACTTCAGTCTGAGGAAAATCCATGTGCTCTTTTGTAATAACACATGAATTGAGGGAACCTATTTGAAGGTGATGTTACCTATGAAGTGAAATGGGTGAGACTGCAAGAAGGGGAGGTACCATCTGAAATTCCAGTCCCACTTTCCAGGACTCCTGGGGCTTTTTCTGTCTAATCTATGACTAAAATAAAAATTTCAAATAATTGTACAAATACTTAGTTGCCTTCAGAAAAAGCTTATTAATAGTTCAGCCCCTTGGCTAGAGGGCTTACTTTATTTTCCAAGAACTTGGAATGTTCTTTCTTTTCAGATGAGAAGCATAAGCATTTAAAAAGTGGTTTTCATGTTTTTAACAGGTCATGTGGACAGAATTGCCTTGCCAGAATTTTCATCTTCTCCTTTGTTGTGCTATCTTAGAATCTGAAAAGCAGCAAATAATGGAGAAGCACTATGGCTTTAATGAAATATTAAAGGTACTGAATTCTTATGCATTATTTAAATATTAATTAACTTTTTAGAATTAATGCAGTATGTTTGTATTTCATGTTAGGGGGGAAGAATAGGTGTGTACTGTCTTCCAAAGGGTTAAATGTGAACTCAATGTCCCCTGTGCTTTCAGAATGGTTTGTTTGATGTCTGTATTTACTGATAAGATCATTAACAAAGGGAAAATTATTCTCCCCCTTAGACTTAATATTTTTAATATGCTTAATATGTTTAATCTTAATTTCTGCTTTTTCTTCTGTAGTCTTATTTGTTCTCTCTTTGAAAATGTGAGGGGCACCTAGGTGGGCTAGCTAGTTTGTCACATTTAGAAGTACCAGAGATTCCTCTCACAGATCTTGGCTACTGGTAAAAGCCAGCTGTTGTGTACTGCACCTTTCAGTACCCATTCGTCAAAGCAAATACAGTATGTTTAGCACTTCATAGCTTAAAGGGCAAGCTTATATGGTGATACTTATTAGCAGTGCAGTACAGTATTAGTCTAATTTACAATAAAGCATATTTACCATTTATTTCACTTACTATTCTTTCTGAATGCATTTTTAGCATATCAATGAACTGTCAATGAAAATTGATGTGGAATATATACTCTGCAAAGCAGAAGCAATTTCTATGCAGATGATGAATTGCAAGGTAAAGATATTTTGAATGTATTTACTGTGAGATTTATAGACAGTAGTAGTTGGCTGTAATGGTACATGGATAACTTGTGAAATAATGAAATGCCCGAGTAGGGTAAAGAATGTGCTGTATCTATACACCACCTATATTCTAAAAGTCTATAAGGAAGAGTGATTAATTTTATCAAGTAATATTGTTCACTGGGAGAAAGCAGGATTATGCCATTTGGTTGTGATTTCTTAACTCTTACTAGATAACCCCAGTACAAGTGATTTGATGTTGAGTGTGCTTGAGAGAGATGTGGTGAAAGGTGCATCACTCTGGAAGCATCCCGCACTTACTCGGCAGAAACCAACGGTTCATTTGATAAAGCAAGTTTTAATAACGTGAAATGTAATTATAATAATTGTTTAGACTTATTTTTGTAACTGATTGTATTGTTAATCAGGAATTAATTCCTGAGCCTGTCCTCTTTATCTTTTGAAGAAGCAGATACAGCGAATGGTAACTTCGATGGAACTAACGCTGAGAGAGATGCTTTCAGTGCAGCTAAAATTCAGATGAAAGATTACTTGGGAGGGGGATCCTTATTGTTAACTTTTTTCATTTAACATTTTTCATTTAGCGATGGCGATTTTTAATGTCTGTTTTTTCCCCTCCTCCGTCCTAGGAATTGCCTCAAGCGGTGGGTGAGATCCTGGGGATCGAGAGCAGTTCTGCGACTCCAGATTCGGAGGCGGGGGAGGAGGAGGGCGGGGCTGTGCCCAGCTGTCCCACGCCGCTGTGCCAGAGCGTCCCCACGCCGGCAGCGGCTGCCAACGGAGCAGGAGACGGCGCTCAGCAGGCGGCTGAGGCACACAGCCTGGCACCTGCCTAACCACAGCAGGCTCAGCTGAAGAAAGACTTTTACTGAGCACGTTTCTTTCAAGCACTTGAGAGATGGATATTTAAATTTGGTGTTGATTAAGCTTTAAGGTTGGAAAGAAAATCTGTACTGTAATGCCCTTGCATTAAAGCTTTACAACATGACTCAACTTAACTATTTTTGTAGTTTCTTCTGCCAAAATAGCCTTTTCTTTTCAATAACATTCCTTAATATTTTTGTAGCCAAGTGCATTTTCTTTTTGCTGGTGAACTGGAAATAGATGGTGATTAAGAATGAGTTTGAGAATTACGCATTTGCAGAGCTTTCACATGTATTGATCTATGACGGTGTGAGCTCCTTGATCTGAGCAGATCTGCAATTGGCAATCTAGCAGAAGCTGCTGTCCAGAAGTTTTGAGCTCAAGAGATGCTGATGCGTTAAAGAAGGATCATTTTGTAAATGGATGGGTTTTCCCTATCTCAAATGTTTACAAAAATACTTCTAAGTATTTGTTGCTGGTTGAATGTAGATTTGAAATGGACATTTATACTTGCGCAGTTTAATGTCCAAATACTGAGTTTTGTGTAACCGGGAGTGGATGAACAGTATATTTTTACATTAACATATCTTCACTTTATATATGCATATATATATTTACACGCATTACAGACACTATATACACGTTTGTGAATACTAAAAAGAATAGTCGTATTTTCAGTATCTGAGTAAACTTGACTGTTCATTCATATGAATCAGTTTGACCAAATTAATGCACAGCTCCAACTTGGGCTCTTTTTCAAAACTTTTCTAACTGAAGGTAACTTTCATGTGAATACATTCAGTCCTACACTTGAGGTAATTTTGCAATCAATTTCTTGCAAACTTTGCTAATGTCTATCTTTGCTAGAATATTAACTGATCAATTAACTACTTACACTGTTTTTATGCCAAGATTATTTGGAGAATTGATAAGCAGATTATAAAAAAACCAAACACACCACAAACCAAAATAGTAATCACAATTAATATTAATGCATTTTTTTTGTATATGCAAAAGGCAATGTGAGTTTATTCCATGCCATGCTGATGTCCTTTGACGTTATGTGAACTTTAACATAACTGACTCAGTGTATTCATTATTTGGTAACTATTGTACATATATAAAATAAAAATCAAAGCTGATCTAGTGTTTTTAATTAAATCCTATTTAGAGAAAAAAAAATTGTCTGGTTGTTGATATAAGAAGCTGAGAATAGAGGGGATGGCTAAAGGTGGTTAGTCCATCGGTATTCTATATTCTGTGAGTAATGAAGAGTGGTGGGCACACCTGTTTTTTGCAGTGGAAAATGCTCATCTCCAGGCTGTTGATGTGTGGGGTGTGCCAGAGCTTGCTTTTCTTTTGGTGCAGTTTACTTTTACAAGTGTTATTCATACCATCTAAAGCAAACACAAGTAATACAAAAAGGCTTTAATAGATAAATCAAGTCGTTACAATAATTTCAGACGCGATTAAACTTCTCTCACCAGTTGTGAACAAACAGTGGTGAGCCCAATCAGTATAGATTTTGTTTTTAATATCGTCAGTGTGCTATCTTTCATCAGTTAATAAGAAGAGTCTTCTGCGGTGCAAGTCAAGGCTTCGCAGCTAGAGCCTTTCATTTCCTCTCCAGGAAATTACTGTGAAGCATCACACCTTTGTTCACTGTCGTGCGTTGTGCTCCTTGGCAGTTCATTTCGTGTGGCACAGAATACATAAAGGCATTGGAACTTATATAATCAACGCTTCCATTCAAATATACTAAGCAAGTTAGTTTCAGTATTTTTGGAGCACCTAGTTTACTTTGAAGTGTACTTACAAAATGTTTTTGTCAAGAATTATGTTGAAATGGAAGGGCGGGGGGAAATATCTGAAAGTGGGAAATGCAAGGAGCAGGTCTGTCAATTAACTGTGCATGGTTTTGAATTATTCAGCATATGCAGCCACAAAAAATTATATGCAATGTATTGAGATCTTGAAGAAAATCACAACTGATTGAACATGAATATTCAAATATTTAGGAAAAGCATATTTAAGTGGAATTGTGTCATTTAGAATTACAGCTCTGGCTGCTAAGAAATACCACCCGCCCTTACAGTTTGCCTTTCCTTTTCGGGTATAATTGTTGATCTTTTCCATTTGTATTAAGCACTTGGGTGTCAAGGATGAGAAAGTTGCTTCTGAATTACCAGCGAGCAGCTGGTGTGGAAGGCTTGGAGTAGGTAGACTTGCTCTGCTTCCCAGTAATGCTATCAAATGCCCTCTGCAGCATTTGCTCTCTGTAGCTTCTTTCCTGCTGTTTTTCTGCTGACAGGCAGCCTTGCAAAGAGTTGCAGTCAGGAGGAACTTCATCCTCCACCAAACTACTCCTGGGTGTTAGGGATGGATTTAGTCTCAGCTGAGACTACAAACACTAAGAGGCCTTAATTGGGATCATGATGGCTGAAAAAATGCCATGGATTGGAGGTTCTGGATTTGCAGTTATGGATTTCTTTTGTACATGAATGACTTAGATTGCTCAGAATTAACAAAAATTGAATAAACTCCACATTTTTTGTTATGGTTGTCAGTCTATAGAAGAGGCCTGTTTAGTTCCTGCAAACCTGTTTTTTGCTGGGTTTTTTTAATGCTTGATTTGAAGATAAGTGTCTTTTGGGAGTGAGCACTTAAACCTTCGTAATTCTCAATCACAGCGCTGTCCCAGCGTTATCTTTTCCAAGGTAAATACTACATTTATGTACATCTCCTTGAGAGATTTTTTTCAAAGTCTGCCTGTTCAGGCACTTCTGTTTCGAAAGTGTTTTCTTGAGGGCTTGTTCTTCTCTGAGAATGTGAATGTTTATAGAATGGTTTTGATACTGGGAGGTTAAAAAAACCCAAACCATAAAAGGATGGTGCTGTACCTACCTGCCCATGGTAATCGCAGAACACTTCAGCTGTATTCAGTACATTTAGCAAACGTGTGCCTGTCCTGTTCACCTGCAGGACTGTCAACAGGTTTTGGTACTGCTAATGTGACGCATGAATCCCTGTGTGATGCAAATGAAGCATAACCAAGTTTGGGATTGTGTTTCTGTAGGTAAAAATCTTGTGTTCTCATCAAACTGTTCCTTGTTAGACAACAGAAAAGACAATGCTGAAGAGGTTAGTGAAATTTAAAAGTCTGCAAGTCTAAAAGTCATTTAAAAGTCATCTGCAAATTGATTGTTACAGGGACTGGAAAAAAAAATTATGTGGGCTATGCACAGGATTAATAATTTATTTAGGAAATGTGTTAACTTTTCCTCAGACTGATTTTTAGTCCATATACTTGTACAGATGCAGCTTCAAACTGAACTTTGTTCTGTGGGCTGTAGAAAAGTGGCCAGTAACTCAGTTTTGTCTGTGGCTGACTAAATATCTTATAATAACATTTTTGAAATCTGTTGACTGTTTTCTGAACATTTCTAGTCAGTGGCTGGGGCCAGCTCTTGTCTGTGTGAAAGAACCACGGCAGAGAGGTCAGTGGTTGCTCTTACTAGAGAAATTCCATGAGCTGCTTGATGGTGGCTTGGATTAAAGAAGGTAATCCGCACCCTTGGTTCTGTAGGAGCTAGAAACAGGCATGGAATTGCACAATAGCTGACATGACTGTATATGAGCATTGATAAGGTGATGAGACATAGGTAAGTAACTGAGCACTTAACAGACAGATTTCATAGATGTGTGCCATTATATTGGATTTAGAGATGTTTTCAAATGCTTTTTTTTTTTAGAGTCTTAAAAAAAATGAGTTGTGCTTCATGTTTAGTGTGACTTGAAAATGTCTGCTATTCAATTAAGTGATGGTTTTGCAGTGCAGGCCTTGTATAAATTAACCTTGAATTTCATTTTTCATTCAAGTGGGGATTTTAATCTTGACATTTTTTAGAGAATATGCTATTTTTTCATGTTAAATCACTATATCCTTGGCATAAATTGAATTTTCTGATGAAATGCAAACAAAAAATGTATTATAGGATGTCATTTTTTGCCTCATCCGAAAAAGATTTCACAGTTAAATCAAATAGATATTTCAAACTGTCCATGTAATTCAAATAAACGAAGTCTTCTAGATGAGTATGTTTTGAAGGAATTCAATTGTAGTCTGTATTTTGGTTATACGGACTATGTATACCCTACTTTAACGTTAGCTCTTAGACTGTTTCTACACGTGTATCTGGTTGCTAACAGCTCAATGCAGAGTCCCCTTTTGTAGAGGTTAAATTTTTGTCCAGGCTGTCAGTTCAGCAAAGGGCGATCCCTTGTTTCCTCTCCGTGTGTTGTGGATGACCCCGGCCAGCAGCCACGCCCCCACTCAGCCACTCGCCCACTACCGGCTCCGCGGGATGGAGAGAAAACAGACGGCAGGCAAAAAGGGTCACGGTTTGAGACAAAGACAGGTGAGCAGGGAAAGCAAACGCTGCTCCAGCAAGCAAAGCAGAGGAAGGAATTCCTCCACTACCGCCCTTCAGCAGGCAGATGTCCAGGCGCTTCCTGGAAAGCAAGGCCTCAGCGCAGGTTCCCTGCAAAGACTAAACACCGTGACTTTGAGTGTCCCTGCTTCCTTCTTTCCTTGGGAAGACAAACACTCTGACCGTGAATCTCCCTGCTGCTTTTTACCTCCCCGAGCACAACGGCACCTGGTGCGGAGTACCCCTGCGGCCGGTC